AATAACAATAATAACAATAATAACAATAATAATAACAATAATAATAATAATAATAATAATAATAATAATAAAGTAACGGCCATTACAAAGCCGAATCATAAGTGGACGATCCAAGTGGAGTAGCCGGAGTGGATCAAACCGATAAATAATTTGCGACCTTTGGTAGACCGGAAGGTGATTTCTAAAGTAAACGGTCAATCCAAACCGTGGAAATATGGAACAGCCGTAATTCATGAATTTTAATGTAGAGAAAAAATAACGAAATAGGTTATGACGGGAAAGATAGTAGGGCTGTTAGTGTGGTACAAACTGTAAAAGTCATATAAAGAGGAATATGCCGAAGTTGGCCTGCCTGTGTTTCATCCCTTAGCTGTAAACATGCACAGTATAAGGTACGGTTAAGAATGGGAATCGTCAGTACAGCCCTCTAACCACCATGTGAAAATGTTAAGTAGCAAATTTAAGACTTGAAGGCAAGTCCGACACTTTTGCTTGAAAGCAGCTGCTAATTGGACTCAAAAGCCAAGCAATACTGAAAAAGGGCAAGAAACAAAACGAAAATCGATTTGAATGGGCAAGCAAAAAATAACCGTTGTTGCCGAATCATAAACAATATTTTCGTATTCCCTGGCAAACAGGAAGTGTTCAAGCTCTTCCGCTAAGCCTTTGACAATTTCCAGAGTAAGCAACGCGCATTCCCTGTGATGCGACGGATACATATTATCGATAACATTGCCCTGTTCGACTTTTACTGTTCCACGAACAAGTTCTGACTCTGTAACAGTATCCTCAATGCAGTAATAACACTTCCATAAAGATTTTATTGAAATTCTTAATGAAAAGCGTGATTCCTTTTGTGTTATTGACATTGAGTTTTACACGTTAATTCAAATTCCACCGCCTTATGCCTGCTTTATCCCCATCTGGTTCATTTTTTTTTTTTTGTCTACGTTAACGCCGATTACGCGCAAAAAAAATGCAAAGCACTGCTCCAAAGAAGGATCACAAAGAAATTGAAATGTGTAAAAATTCGATAAACCCAAACTGGAACACACCAGATTTGCCAGTGCGGTCATACGTTTTTGCACTAGAATTGAAGCAGTCAGGTCGTTAACTGTACTAATGGTTACTGCTTTAAATTTACCTTGCGTAATCATCAGCGCAAATCAACACATATTTCGCATAAGGGAAAATGAACAATTTTCGTTCGACGATCTTTCATTTAAACGACAAATGTTCCAAGCTGTTCAGTGAGCAATTTTTCCACCAAATTTTCAACGTGCCTGCATGTGAGAACCATAATATCTGGAGGAGGGGGAGGGGACGAGTTTGAAGTCTGTAAAATGCAGTTGGACCAGAAACATTCTCTTAAAATTTCAGCTTTTCTGGTTACTGAGCTAATAAATTCCCCGCCGAAATTTTCACATGCTCGTATGCGGAGCCCCAAATACGTGAAAGTTAATAACGTGTTCCTGAGGTGACAAGGAAACCCACTGGTGAAATTTCGTCGCCGAAGCTTGCTTGGTTGCCGAATTGAAATACCTGGACAACTGCACACGTAACACACAAATGCGTACACACATAAATGCATACACACATACACACACAAATGCACACACACACACACATACACGCACATACCCTATGGATCGTCACAATACGCGTTTTTGCACTCGCATAATGAAAAATGCATACAAAAGCTATACGATAGTACTATAAATACTAAAAGATATTGGGTTTTTCATCGAAGCAAGCCCGTTCCCGTATGCAGATTATAGTAGCATGCACATTTACAACATTAGTCACTAGAAGCAACCTTCTGCTCCCATCTTTTTGCGTCTGCGACAGATCACATCACATTTTGAGCAGCGATAGTAAACAATGCCAAGCCGGTCTGAGCGGCCATTGATACGATAAATGCGAGCTGCCTGGCCACCTGGTTCGAATATGATCAGCGGCGGATTCCTGAATCGCTGACCCATCACTTCGATTTCACGAGGTATAGGGCTGAAAAAAAAACAGAAGAACAATTAAAAATTAAAAAAAATCAAGAATTAAGAAATTAATAAATGGCCAACGCACGGGCTGCCCGTGCGAAGATGCGTTTTTTGCAGAGTTCCCCGCA